GGAAACTAATGGCCAACTGCTGTTTAGATCATCCAATAGCAAGGAAAGCCAAGTTTAGACAAGTATTATCAGGTGTTGCTGCATCGATAATTCTTCTCTCTCAAGCCAACCTGGTTAGTACTTTTGTAGTTGTGTTTGTACTACATCAGTCAGCTGTCATTATTTCTGAGTTCTTATCAAAGGAGAGAGAATAGAGGAGAATCTAATTAGTAGTAAGATTAGACATCTGTTCCTATTTGGAGGATTAAAATTAGAAAATTTGACATTACTCGTATTGGCTGCTGCTTGTACCATCTTTGATTTTCAAGCATTGTTGATACTGCTTGAGGAAAAGCATTGTTGGGCCTGTCTTTAGATTTTTTTTTTGGTATTTTGTATTAAACCATCATTCTGAGTGTACAATTGGTCTACCTGCCACCTGCCACATGATACTTTGCAATTTGAAATTTAGACTCCTATACTTAGATGATTCCAAGGGATTGTGGAGAGATGAGAATATTTTGCTGAACTTTGGAACTCTTTAGATGCTAGCTTTATACATTGATGTTCTCATTAGATTTTGAAGGAAGCAAAAATAAGTATTCTTAGGTGAGGTTGAGCTCACGATTAAATTTTGCTTCTCAAGGATGGAATCAAGAAATAAACTATTCTATTATAGATAACGACCTGTTCATATACTAATATGTATTGTCTTCTGTAGGCTGTTGCAGAAGATCTCACCTGGAACAACAACTTGTGCCACCTTGCAAGTGCTATAAACAGCCTGCCACCTCTGCCTTTGGACAAGGGAGATGGGGAAGCCAGTGGAAAGGTCAGGATGATGAGTGGTATGACAGCAAAGGATTTTGATCCTGTGAGATATGCTGGAAGATGGTTTGAAGTAGCTTCACTAAAACGTGGATTTGCAGGACAAGGTCAAGAAGATTGCCATTGCACCCAGGTAAGTGATTGGGGAATCACATTATTCTGATTTTTTATATCACATCTTCCTTTGACTAGGATCAATTTTGCATACTTGTGGAACCAAGTTTGTTGCCTTCCAGTGTAATGTTATTATGTCTTGGTTGTTCTTGTGATCTCTGTTTGGCATGCATGAGATGCTACCAGCCAAATTCATTTACTCAAATGAAAATGCAGGGTGTATATACATTTGATATGACTGCCCAGCAATCCAGGTTGACACCTTCTGTGTTCACGGAGGACCTGATGGCTATATTACAGGGATAAGGGGAAAAGTTCAGTGTCTTTCTGGGGAAGACTTGGAAAAAGAAGCAACCAATCTAGAAAACAGTGAGATGATTAAGGGGAAATGTTATCTACGATTTCCTACGCTGCCATTTATCCCTAAGGAGCCCTATGATGTGATTGCAACTGATTATGACAATTTTGCCCTTGTTTCTGGAGCTAAAGACAAAAGTTTTGTTCAGGTATGAAGCCAAAGCTTTTGATACAGCCAAAGCTTTTGATATGTTGTGATTTTGATAACCTGCTTTGTTAACTATAACATCCATATAACCTGGGGTTGCGTTTTAGTTAAGACTTCATTGCAAAGTATATTTTTCCATTACTATTGTTCGGTTGTTTGACTCTTAATTTCAAATTCTCTTGCTTCATTAAAATTGATGTGGGTCTTAATTCTGCGGTGTCGAGTAATGGACTTGTCGATGTTATCTGATTTAGTTGTAACACAAATGTTCTTATCCAAAAAATTGTTTCAACTTCAGGTTTTTGGTCCCTGTTTATCCAAGTATAAGGAGTAATACATGGGATATGGCATTTGTGCTCTTGATGCAGCAACTGATTTGATATAACATTTTTCTTACCAACGAATCAACATCATGTTTATTGTTTTTGTATGTCAGATATACTCGAGAACACCAAACCCAGGTCCGCAATTCATCGAGAAGTACAAAGCATACTTGGCAAATCTTGGCTACGATCCAAACAAGATTAAGGACACCCCACAAGATTGTCAGGTGATGTCTAACAGTAAGCTTGCGGCTATGATGTCTATGCAGGGGATGCAGCAAGCTCTAACCAACGAATTTCCTGATCTAGAACTGAAGGCCCCTGTAGCATTTGATCCATTTACAAGTGTATTTGACACTCTAAAGAAGCTTATTCAGCTTTATTTCAAACAATAATATGATTTATTATCAGGACTTCTGCTTTGTACCATATTATAGATCTACAACCCTCAAAGATGTTTTCAAGCTGCCAATATGTAATTAGCATGTTCAAGGAACTACAGTTCTTCCTCGATCTTTTCCTGGGAATGAAACATATTTTAGTATTTTGGTTGAAGTTTAGGAACTTTTTGTTTTCTCTGTGGCTTCTTTTATCCTGGTCAGCAAGTGGAAAGTTAGAACTGAATGGTAACTATTCTGGCACCGAATTTACTCTGTAAAAATTTAAGTACATAATCATTTTGTGGATTGTGTAGGTTTGAAAAGCAAATATCAAAATTTCAAGTTACTTAGATTAATTAGGGAATGTATATTTTATGTTGAACTAGTCAACATAACAAATATCACTTCTTAAATTTCTTGAGGATCAAGATGTTAATCTCTACCTTTGAAATTTCATCCGGAGAAAATATTCTGCTACTAAAAGGAACTAAAGATTTGATATCGATACAGTCACTCGTACTGTAGAATTCACCCACTTGAAATCGCACACTGCAGGGTAGAAACAGCATAATGTGATGGTAACTCGAATGGAACTCTAGCAGTCAGTCACAGTACAAAATCATTCGATGATTCTTGATCTAACGTAGAATTCGTTTACAGAAAGTTACATCAAATATGAAAGCTTAGCAGGGAACAACGACTCAAAAGAAGAAAAACCGTGTCCTATGAAATCAAGATACAAAAAGCCTTCATATGAAAGAATTTGGTCAAGCCTTTTGAACTGAAAACCCCAGGATAAAGTCCTTAATTTCATCACTAGCAGCCTTATCAAGGGCAGTCCGTCCTTCCGAATCCTTGACTGTATAATCCGCGCCAGCTCTCAATAGTTCTTCAATTTTCGGCTTGTCACCTTCTGAGGCAGCCATCATATAGCAGAATGTCGACTGGATGAATATTTTGCTTCAAAAGAGCGTGCATCTTATCATATGAACCCTCAACTGCGAGCATGCCCATGTAATTGAAGTACTGTGAAAGAATGAGCAGAAAAATTGTTCGCCCCATTAGTCAACTGTCGCATTTGAAGGAGTAGCTTCAAAAACCAACCATGTTGGATGAACAAAAACAGCTAAAAATAGTAACAATATAATGCAGAAGCACAAAGTTTGTCTCACAAGCAGATAAATTTTAGACAGAAATGGCCATTAGGTCCACCTGACAGTTGAGAAACCTGATTCATTTTTATTTGGGAGGAAAGAACTTGCAGGAAAGATTAGCAAGGCTAATGATAAAAAGACTCCCATGAAAGAATCAATTTCAGCAGATTCTCCCATTCAATAACTAGACTAGAACCTAATCCCAACAGGCACCAAGCTTCTTTATCTTCTTTTGCATTTTGTCAATGTCCAGCAGCTTATCAAAGTCAATTTGCACTAAGCCTATGGAGTAAAAGTTCCTACACTAGCTACATGATTCTTTTTTCTTTTTTTTTTCCTTTTCAATCTAAATTAATCATGGTCTAATTACTAATATGACTCAAAGAAATGGCAATTATATTAAGGATGGAAAAAAATGCAAATTAACGGTACGATTTAGAAACTAAGGCAGAGGAAAGCTTAAGAGTACCTGTTCAACATCATCACTGTCAAAATCATCACGGGATTGGCTACCATAAATGCCAGCACCTTCAGCATCCACACCATTCTTACCAAACCTGAACCAGCAAGTGGTTCTTGAAAAGCCGGAGGTTGTCCCAATTCTGGTGGGCCTGCACCATCCTAACCCTTTGCTACTGCTTCTGGGGGCACCCACAAACTGAGGAGTGAGTTTGCAGAGGATTGGAATAGAGTTTGATCCATGTGAAGAAGAAGAGTTGAGGATGGGTGCTGAAGAAGTTAACGGATTCTGGAGAACACAAGGAATTGAAGCCATTGAGGATGGTTTTAGACACGAAAACGAAACCAGCGGCCTTATCGGGTAGAGTTCGATGGAGCGATAAATGTACCTAACTACTTATATTTTTTTTGACATAAATATATCAACAAATCAGAGTGGCGCAGCGGAAGCGTGGTGGGCCCATAACCCACAGGTCCCAGGATCGAAACCTGGCTCTGATAAGAGAGAGCAAGGCTTCTCTTCCACTCTAGAAATCTTTTTGCGCTATTTTCTCTTTTTTGCCCCTTTTCTTTCCTTAATAGCAACCGGAGTTGGGCTAGAAAGTACACGGGCTTTTCCAATCTAGTCCATCGAATGTATTGTTGGTCCGTTTAGATTTCAAAACTTTTTTCTCTCTGGTCCAACCAGCAACTCTCTCTCTCTCTCTTTTGGGAACAAAATCAATTTTTATCAGTAGACTATCTACCAATTTCGGATTCTGTTATTTCTGTTCTGCAGCTCAAGGGTGAATAATCAATTAAAAAGATTGAGATGCAAATTTGAAATTGGGATATTGCCGTCCAGAATTTGAACAGTTTCTTGCGTTTTTGCTTCATGAAACTGATTCATAATCCCCGAAAAGAACGTAATTGGACAAACGCAGATGTCGTACGGAGTATTTATAGATTCAGGATTCAATGGTAACAAAATATTCAGTGCAAGAAATTCATACATTTGCATGCATCCATGGCTTTGACATAATTGGGGATTGCTTCAAAAATCTAGTAGATAGTGTAATATATTATTAACGCTGGCCTGTTCAAGTGGATGAAATATCCAAATTTTCTAACGTAAGCATAAATTGATTAACCACAACATGCGTGCCTCAGATTAATAGATTATCCAAATTTCAAGATCATAATATATTATATATATGTATATGTATAGAAAAAAAAAAGGGAAGCTAATTGACAAGGAAAGGAAATGAATGCAAATAGGTGATCATAAGTTGTCTAGCCTTTTGAAGTTTAACATTACAAAACTCCCTCTTGGGATTTACAGGATCATGTGCTTATTCGCATGGCATATTATTATTCATCCTGCGGATGAAATTAGGATTAGGATTCGGATTTAGTAGTAGGGGTATGGTTCGGTGGCTGAATTTGGCATTCCTTTGGTTGAAGGTTGCATATCCCGGGGAGCTGCCTAGCCTTTTGAAGAACTTGTTGTTGCTGCTTCTGCGGTCCTTGCTGGCCATAGGGCCTCACCTTGCTGCAATTGCTGAACAACCTGCTTAACGGCCTCACACCGGCATTGCTCGTCGACGTTCTTCAGCTGCTGGCAGCACTGCCAGAGTGGCTGCTGCTGTTTCTCTTCTTGGTTCAGGAGCACGGGCTCGTAAGGCTCTCCTGGCTCTGTTGTTGCAAGAACTGCCGGCACTGTTGGAGCCGCTGCGGCCTAATCTGCTGCCTGCATTTGTGCTGAGTCTGTTGTTGCTCTCCGGCGTCTTGTCCAGTTCCTCGTCGATGATGGCTGTTATGGTGGCTCGAAAGCCAGATACTCAGCTACAGCCAAGAGGGCAGTAGCCAACATTGCTGCAATCACCGTCGTTCTTGCCGTCATCTCGCTTCTCTCCTTCTGTGATGGAGCAGCGAGCAGTGGGCGGAGGAGGGTATTTTATAGCGGAGCTTGGGCCTTGCATGGCTAGAACGTGTAAGCTGCTGCTACAGGGAGTGAAGATTGCTGTGGGCGGAAGAAGGGGTGAGGTGCTTCGATCAAAGCATTTAAGCTTCCACGTAGCAAATCAACATCAAATGCTCCCTCCCATCGTTCTTCTGTACGTTGGATATCTCCATTATTGAAGTTGAGGATGCAAACTACACATCGGCCCAAATACACACAGGCCCAAAGACTCCATAATCTGTTGTCATTATTATTAATCTCCTGTAATTAACCTAAGAAGATCAGAAGCATTATTGACCCCCAAAAAGATTAAGGGCCTAAAAAAAAAAGGGGCTCAAAAGACTACTAAAGTCATGTGATGCTCACGTGTAAGAAATGTGTGCCGTCAATTTATTTTGATCCTGGTCCCCTGTGAGAATGAAGGCACAACCATATGCTCTGAATCTTAAATTAATTTTGGTACTATTACCGCATTAAATTCCTTAACTCTGCTTTCATGATTTTCTTGCTGGACTCGAAGCAGTCACAAGTTGAAAGCACCACCAGGGGCAGTGAAAAGGAAGCTAGCAATCGCAAAATCAGGAAAAGTTCAATTTTTTCACTCTTTCATTCCTGCATCACCACATTCACCCAGCCAGTTGGGCCCGGCAATGAATTGTTTGTTTCAACAATGTACAGTGATTTCACAAAGGGTCACCATGAATCCAGATTAAAAAGTGGTTAGAAGATTGTAGGGGGAGTTACAAACTTTCTTCAATGTATTAAACCATCTGCACATGAATACAATGAATATGTATCTCCACCCATACCCTCTACAAAGGCAATCTCCACCTCAGATAAAGAATATAGGTAGGGAATTCATGTGAAGATCACAAGATGTTGAGCCTCACCAAAATGCCACATACTCTAACCAAAACAAGTCCCAGACCACCAACTCTCTTCAACCAGAGCCCTCAAATTTATCTTCTACATTGCATAGGAAGGCGGTATCTAAATCCAGCAATGCACTGCAGATTCCAAAGAAAATGACTGCAAAAACTACTCCAGTTGAAATAGGCACAAGAGGCACTGTTGGATCCCTCATACTACAAGAAAATCGAATTTTTCAGCCAGCTAGAATTAGGGTGTCAAGATAGCTTACACAAACCTCGTAAACCGACAGAAAAGCCATCTTCAAGTAGCTCCAACAAAATCAACCGTGGATCTTTGGCAACACCACCCAAAAAGAAGAGAAGAGCAGGCAGAAAGCTTATACCCAGCATGTGCAACATGGTAGACGTTGCAGAGAGCAGCCAGCCAACTTCAAAGTCTGGATTTTCTTACAGGAATTTGAAGGCTGATATTAAGAGTTTGCAGGCTTAGATAAAGCTCTCAGATAGCTTTGAGAAACGCGAGCTTCTTTAGGCGATTGTTATAGGGCTCGCCCATGCTCTATCTTGGCTCCCACATTTATGTCCACAACTTCAGCCATGTAAGATAACCTTTTGTCAGATTTCTGTCTAATAGGCGTTCCATCTATTGAAATGTTATCTGAGTCGAGCATTGGAATTTGACTCTTCCGAGTGTAGTGCTTGGTCTTCGGATGTTTTCAGGATTACCGTGTTAGTGTGACGCTGCTGCTTGCTTTATTCACCTGGGGTCTAGACTTGAATGTCTTTTGCTTAGAAGTTCCAATAGGAAGGAAATCACAATCTGCTGGTGCATTTACCTGAAGTTCAGGTTTCACATTTTCTAACTCCCTTGACATAAGGGCACCAATTGTCCCCATAGTTCCAACTTTTATGGAGCCTCCACCACCCCTGATTTCTTCTAGCGTCTGAACCATTTCTTTTACATCCCAACTCTTTAATTTCCAGAAAGGTTTCAAAAAAGAGTCAACAGATTCAGTTTAAGACCCTGCATCGCAATAGCACCAAGGAATAATTTGAGATAGATCTCCATTGGAAAAATATATTGTGCCATATAACATTTTGTTGGATCTTGACAATAATGCTCAACATAAGCATTAACACTGACAATATGGTACAACTGCTGTTTAACCAAACTGTTAACATGTAATTTTTCTTAAAAAACACAGATGGAGAAAGAGATGATAGTGTTGATGGCGTTTAGTTATGTCAGTTTCTAAATTTAGCTTTAGCATCGATTACCAGCTAACAGACCACGCAGGGGACGAGAATACACAAGTGGGAAACAAAACAGGAAAGTTTGCATGTCTTAACTAAAAAGTCTCCTAAGAACAGCAACCATTAGCTGAAAACACCATCCAAATATGACTCTGATAATGTGACAACATCAGTTACAGCTATGATGGGAAATTACAAGATATGGAGCTATTGGAGCAATTCAGTGCAGAACCTGCCTTAGTAAATACTGATGAACCTCAATCGATCAACTAACAGGCACTCTGGAACATTAACCATACAATCATTAAGCATGTGTATTCCAGTTAAATTGATCAGACAAAACAAGAAGGCCTGACTTCAAAGAGCAGAAGATTATTATCCGAATATATCAGAAAATTAAAAATTGTGGCAGTACACCTCCCCACCTCACCAGACATCGCTAATTAAACAGCACTGAGCTGGCAAAAGGTGTTCATTAAGGATTACAGACATTGCAATCAATTTGAATTATTGCAAAGCATTAGTTGACTTCATACAGAGGGACTGCTAGCTTTAATGAAGAAGACCTCATAAAGCTGTTGTCAGATTTTATCCAACAGCACGGTAATGAAATGCACAATACAAGACAAAAGGTGGTGCCTTTAAACTCTACAGATCATCTAAAACCCCACCAACAAGACCATAAACCCTCATAAACTATATGTCCCACAGAAGATAGAAAGACATGGCACACAGCCTATTTATACTTTTACGGGCTAAAAAGGTTGAAGTACAGATGGTTTCAACTTTCAACCCAGCAAATATAGGAACAAAGAAGACAAATTGCCATCAAATCGAAAAAGGTAAATCAGTGAGATAACATTCAACAGCCATGGACCAACGCAAAGATTTCTTCCGTGAACAGTTCATCTATAATTAAGGGGAAAAAAAATTTGCAGATCTAAACTAAGTAAAAAGATATCGAGAAGTTCTAACCAAAAGGGCCAATCAGGGAAATGGACGCAGAAATCAAGAAACAGAATTTACCTACAAACACCTGAGCGTGCGTTGGAGCTCTCAAAAGTGAACTTAGTGAAGGAAGGAAGGGTCCCTTGACATCCCTTTAAAGTTTAAACCAAAGAGATGGAAGAGATAAATAAATACGCTAAAAAGCCAGAACTGATACCTACTGGAGTAAGTAAATGAAAACAGTAACTGAGCTAGCAAAGATGGAGGAGTCTTCAGTCTTCACAATTCTCCAACTACCCAAGAATCTTGAAAAAGGGTTGCTGCGTCCTCTACCAATCTAGACTGCGGTTATTCTGTCACCATCAAAATCTTGAGTGATGCGAGATTTCATAAGTCCAACTTTATAAGTTAAAGCTATGTGACTTATTTAGCATGGCAGCTTATCTAACCAGTCAAACGGAAGGTTTAGGCAATATCCGACAAGAAATCATATCATATCATGTCCTCTAATAATAGGATTACGCGCCTTTTGTCCTTTTTCGCTGGGAGACGCTACTACTAATCCCGTGAAGAAACGTTGAAGGTTTAAAAGGTTATTTTTAGGATTTTGAGTGAAAGGTTTGATATGAAAACCTTCTGAAGTGTGTCTGTTTTCAGAATTGGAATGGGTCTGGAGAAAGCCTGATGGCTGGTGTTCCGCTTCCGCTTCCTAGTCCAAATTGAATAACAATGGCCCGAGATGTATGCTTTCCATATTGGGCCTCCGACTATTTTCTAAAAGGGCCAATGATTGTCTACGAGATTTCAGGTGGCCGGGTCTCGTAGCTCGGTTTGATAATAACGAGCCATCATCCATGAGTGCACATTACCCGGTTTGATCTGCAATTTCATGCTGCATTGAGATGACAAATCTCCTGATAAAAGCAATCTAAAGAAGCAGGTTCCATGTCGACTTTGCTCATTAAAGAAAAACGATTGAAAGAGGAAGAAGTTATGCTGTCTATTTCATTTCTTTCTCAATATCCAGGCAGGAACTCATCTTCTTCTTCTCTTTGGTACTAGTATATTGGTTCAGGAAAATGAATAATAAATAGTCCAATGGAATTCATGCAGAAAAAAATGTTGACCGTCTTACAGCAGAAGCCTCACCAGCTGGGCAAACTCATTTTTTGTATCAACCTATCCTATTCCTAACTTTGTCAAAATTTTACAAGGTAGCAACCACTAAAATTTAGCTGAGTGGCCGCCACCAAAGCCTTTCAGGTTTGGTGGACTGGGAGGTTAGATTCAAACCTTGTTTCCATCCATTGGTCATTAAAATATGATAAATCGCTATTGTTTAACTTCTCTAGAAGCCAAAACAAAAAGCAATTGGATTGGTGAATTTCACGTCCCTTTAACAATCACATCCGAGTATGATCCGACAATGATTCAATTTTCGTCGGACTCAATTAAGCCACCCTCTCCAGAGTAAACTAGAAAAATCAAAAACTGACTAAGGAAAACAATAAGCTAGAGTCCAATTCTGGATTCTGGGGATGGGAGTATGGGAATGGGCATAATTGGTCATAAATTTACTGCCGATCACACTCATCTCTTTCTTTCCAAAGTTCTATAGATTCAAATTTCCATCTTTCATTTCATTGTCCTCCCTCTCTAATTATTCAAACTCCTAACCCCCTCCCAGGTTCCAACCCCTAAACAACCATAAATCTAAAAAGCACCACACACACATAATGACATAACCAACAGACCTTTGACCTACATTATTTAACATTTCAGTTTAAGATTAAACCACCGGGCATTGGCTAATGAATGAGTGAGATCAGATCTCCCATCTTCCTTCCTTCTTTGATTATTGGCCCTCTTTCGTTTCGCTTCCTTCTCACTTCACTTCTCCCACTGTCACTGTCCACTCCACCAAAGCCAGCTCTCTCTCTCTCACAAGGCTCTTTGCATTGCATCTGTTCTCCTCTACATCTAACCGACTAATACCACACCAGGAGTGACCGGTGAATTCAAATTTTACATTTCCCCAACCTCAGAGCCCACGTTCATAATCCCATTCCCAGAAAGGGTAAAAAAAAAAAAGGAAAGGAAAAGGAAAAAAAAAACCAGTCTTGGCAAACTTTTTCCCACATTTTTACGCCATTTTCTCTCTCGCATGCTCGCAAAATTCTTGTGAAAATGAGTACTTCTTTAAAATCTGCTAAACCCTCAAAACCCCCAAACCCATCCTCCGCCCAGACAACCCCTTCAAGATCTTCCTCCTCCTCGCTTTCTTCCCATTTAGCCATGATTGAACTCAAGCAAAGAATCCTCACTTCTCTCTCCAAGCTCTCCGACAGAGACACGCATCAGATCGCCGTTGAAGACCTGGAGAAAATCGTCCACACCCTCTCCAACGATGGCGTTTCAATGCTTCTCAACTGCCTTTACGACGCCTCCAACGACCCTAAACCCGCCGTCAAAAAAGAATCCCTCCGCCTTCTGGCAGTCCTATGTGCTTCCCATACCGATTCGGCTTCCACCCACTTGACTAAAATCATAGCCCACATTGTCAAAAGGCTTAGAGACTCGGATTCTGCTGTCAGGGATTCCTGTCGGGATGCCATTGGATCTTTGGCATCCCTTTACTTGAAGGGGGAAGCTGCGGCTGATCATGGTAATGTGGGATTGAATTCAGTAGTCTCGTTGTTTGTGAAGCCGCTGTTTGAATCCATGAGTGAGAATAATAAGGTGGTTCAAGGTGGGGCCGCAATGTGTATGGCTAAAATGGTGGAATCTGCTTCCGACCCGCCTACAATGGCTTTCCAGAAGCTGTGTCCAGGATTTGCAAGTACCTCAATAGTCCCAATTTTATGGCAAAGGCAGCATTGTTGCCTGTTGTTTCCAGCTTATCCCAGGTTTGTTCATTTTAGGCACATGTTTTCTCCAATATTTTTCTAGTGGACAATTCTTTGTTTATGGTGATTAAGCTGTAGTACATCTTTTATTTCATTAGTTTTCTTGTGTGTTATTGTTAGTGAGGATTCACGTCTAGTCAGTATTTTCCCGGTTATGGAGAATTTTCTCTTAAGAAGCGATCAAAAACTCTTTATGAAATTGAAATGTTAATTTTTTTAGTCAGGTTGGTATTTTAAGTATTTTGCGAGGGTCATGGAGTTGCATGCTATATGTATTTCATGGTTAGAAGAAAGGCAATTTGATATTTTGTTAGGCATAGAACCATGATGTCCCAATGCAATGGCAAGCAACGCCTACTATAGCTTTATATATATATATATATATATAGGGCAGCTGGACACGAAAATGTAGTCTGCCTCTCTTACCCTGCTTAATCAGCATTTTCCTTTGCCTTCGTTCGGTCAAGCATTCTTTGCAGTTTATTGTATTGATGTGATTTTTTTTCATTTCGAGTAGTTAATGATTTCAGCCTCTGTTTTCATTGAGATTTGCTGGTGCAGAATTTGGAAATGCTTGAAACTGTCATTTTATCTGTGCACCAGGAAGAAATGTACTGTTTATATGCAATAGCTGCCACACATGTGGTTCTGTGTTTTGCATCTTCGAAAGTTTTTTTAACTCTTTATCCTTACTGCCCAATGTACCATATGGATGCATCAGAAAAAACTAAGACGTGATGCAGTCTTCACATATATTGGAAATATAATGGTGTAAACACAAAACTGAGATTATGTTCTACTTGTTTCAGGTGGGAGCTGTTGCACCTCAAAGCCTTGAATCTTTGGTGCAAAGTATTCACGACTGTCTTAGCAGTTCAGATTGGGCGACACGTAAGGCTGCAGCTGAGACATTAATTGTTCTGGCATTGCACTCTAGCAGCTTGGTGGTAGAGGAGCTAACTCCACAGTGACTCTGCTAGAGGCTTGCCGGTTTGACAAAGTAGCCTTTTTGTAATTTTTGTCGTTTAAAAAATCATCCTGTCGCAATAAATATGCTGTGTGGTTCCGAATGGGCAGTCTCCTTATGCAGGAGTTTTTTTCTTGAATACTGATAATGGAACCAAGAAAAGTCAATAGCCTGATAAATGCATCAATGCTAGCTATCGTGCATTTTTCCTTTTAGGTTTTATTTGCACAAGGATTTTGGAATATTCTTATGTTGACATTTTGTTTTTTTTTTTTTTTTTCTGAAGCTTCTAATATTTCTCATTCATGAATACTTTATCTATTTTAGTCCCATTTAGATTGCTAGTCTGTTATTTTACATAACACAAAATAATGGGGACCAAGATGAACATCTTAAAAGAATGTATAGCTTTTGAGAAATTTCTTGTGAGTATTTGAAAATGTTTCTTTAGTTGATGAACTTCAAAATGTCTTTCATGCTTTCATCATACTTTCATTTGATTTTGCCAAGGAGTGCAGGATTAGAATTAATCTAACCTATTGATGACATATTCCACGTCTTACTCTCAGTTCTCTTGTTCTTTTATGGTTATGTAGGAGGATACATGATTGGAATAATATCACTCTTTGGGTTTAATCAGTATATTAATGATGCTAACATTTGCAGTCCCTTTTTCTTCCAACATGGAGAAGAGTTGCTTACTTACAAATTGTAAAAATGTTTGTGCAGACTTTGAATTAAAATTCCAGGACACTCTTGCTTTCAGGAAAACTACAAAAATGATTAATATTATTTCTTTTCAATTTTTGATACAGCTGGTCTATTCCTCAGCATTTAACGGGTTTTCTATGTATTTCAAATGTAATGACCATATGTAATGTTGTAGTTGTTGATTTTCTCTTTCAATTTGACAGAGATCTCAACCATCTGAATCTTTTTCTACTTCCCTTTTTTTTTCAGTTCTCCTTTTTAATGAGATAAGTGAAGTTATTAAGTATTGCAAGTATCTCGACATACAAAAGCTAAAAGTTAACACGTTCACTCTCTGTCCCAGATAAAACCAGTCAGAGATAGTGTAACTGAAGCTCTGCAGCTGTGGAAGAAAATTGCAGGAAAAGGAGATGGAGCTTCAGATGAACACAAACCTTCATCTCACAGTATGCTTGACTTCAATATATTAAATTTCAGTTTCTCCTTCAATTAGGATTTCCTGTTAATTCTCTTAAGCCCAGTGTTTTCTTATGTCTCTTCAGATGGTGAGACTTCTGAATCAGCTTATCCATCAGACAAGGACTCTCGAAACCCTGGTGAAAGAAGTGAACTACCGGTGAAGGATTTATCTAATAATCCATCTTCTAATGATGCATATCTCAAAGACAAGGGTAGCAACATTATGGACAAGGCAGTTGGGATACTGAGGAAGAAGGCACCTGCATTAACTGACAAAGAATTGAACCCTGAGTTTTTCCAAAAACTTGAAACAAGGGGTTCAGATGATTTGCCTGTAGAAGTGGTTGTCCCTCGTCGATGCCCTAATTCTTCTAATTTGCAGAATGAGGAAGAGGCTGTGGGCAAGGATTCAAGGGAGAGGACAAGGACCAGCTACCAGCCTGATGGTGGATCACTTGACTTTAGATATCGTAACACTGAGAAAGGAACTTCTAGCTATAGTTCTAGAGAACGAGATACTGATGAAACAAGTGATCTGAATCAAAGAGATTTATCTGGCATTCAAGGGGGTTTTTCCAAGAGTGGAGGCCAATCTGACAGTTTCTCGAATAATAAAGGAAATTGGCTGGCTATTCAGAGGCAATTATTACAACTGGAAAGGCAGCAGGCTCATCTCATGAACATGTTGCAGGTGAGGTTCAATAACATATAACTGCAAGGAATTATTCCTGTATCTCCAGTTGTGCTAACCTTTTCCTCATATTGTAGGATTTTATGGGTGGTTCACATGATAGCATGGTGACGCTTGAAAACAGAGTGAGAGGTCTTGAAAGAGTAGTTGAAGACATGGCACGGGATTTGTCTCTATCAACAAGTCGAAGAGGTGCTAGTTTTATGGGTGGATTTGAAGGATCATCCAACAGAAGTGCAGGGAAATACAATGCCTTTGCTGACTATACTAATGCTAAATTAGGGAGTGGTAGTGATGGAAGGATTCCCTTTGGAGATAGATTTGCACCTTCTGATGGTAGACCTTCAGGCAATAGGGGAAGGGGCCCTCCTTGGAGATCTGATGCACCTGATGCTTGGGATTTTCAAGCATATGGTAAAAATGGGCAAATGGGTTCTAGAAGAACTTTGGGTGGTGGTCCTGTTGATTGTAGGTCCCCTAAATCCGAAAATGATAATGATCAAGTTGGCAGCAGGAGAGCTTGGGACCGAGGAGCTGGACCTGTTAGATTTGGTGAGGGACCATCTGCTAGAAGTGTCTGGCAAGCTTCAAAGGATGAGGCAACATTAGAAGCAATAAGGGTAGCTGGTGAAGACAGTGGGGCTGCTCGAAGTGCAAGGGTAGCAGTGCCAGAATTGACTGCTGAAGCATTAGGGGATGATAATGTCATGCAAGAAAGAGATCCTATCTGGAATTCTTGGAGCAATGCTATGGATGCACTTCATGTTGGTGATACAGATTCAGCTTTTGCTGAAGTTCTATCTAGTGGAGATGATCTTCTGCTTGTAAAGTTAATGGACAGATCAGGGCCTGTATTAGATCAAATCTCAAGTGAGGTTGCAATTGAGGTTTTACATGCCATTGCCCAATTTTTACTCGAGCAGGACTTGTATGACATCAGCTTATCCTGGGTGCAACAGGTATTGTCACTCTTGATTATTGCCTGACTTTCTTTCACTGCATTGAGATCTATATTATTGTCAAAATGGTTTCATGAATCCAGGTTCCTTTCACAGTTCTTGTCTCAATTTCTCAAGTTGAAAGTCATGAATTATGTGATTAAAATGATGAAGGCATACAAAGCCATGAGTTCTAGCCTCTTTTGCAATTTATGTCTGTCACTTCTACTGTCAAATGGTATAGGATAAATTCTCAGTAGTATGTTTTTATAATAAAAGGACGACTTCTAATTAACTGGAAGCAGTCGAGTAATTTTGTCTAAAAAGTGGGCGGTTTTTTTGTTAAATGGTCTACAAGCAACCTTATAGGACTTTGTTGCACGGAGGCTGCAGGGTTTTCTGATCTTCTTATTATGTTTTTTCATTCTGGCTTCCTTAGTTTCACACTAAATGATCTCATTTCTCATCTCGTCAGTTGGTGGAAATTACGGTAGAAAACGGGACTGACGTTCTTGGCATTCCTATGGATGTGAAAAGAGAAATTTTGTTGAATTTACATGAAGCTTCTTCAGCAATTGATGTGCCAGAGGACTGGGAAGGAGCAACACCAGAACAACTTTTGTTCCAGTTGGCATCTGCTTGGGAAATTGACTTGAAGCAATTGGAGAAATAGCTTGAGGAGCACTCTTGAAAGCTGACCAGTAGTATCTTATTTTGGGGAGTACATTTTTGTATCTACCTATCGTTGTTGAAATCACAACAGTTTCTAGCTATGTTCCATTGGTTAGTTCAATTTGTTCATTTTTTGAAGCTGAATTATGGATTTTCAAGCTCGATCCTATGTGTAGTGGTTTGGGGCAATGCTAAAGACTACACATACAAAGTATGTTTGAACTTTGAAGCCAACGGACGCTTCTTTTCGCTTTATGCTTGTTCTTTTGTGACTTCAAAGTTGGGTATCCTAGGCTGCTGGATCACAGCTCTACTGCTTGTAATATGGGCAAGAAATTTAGGCTTATTCGGGCTTCAGAAAAGAAGGCACTAGTTCTTTGCAGCTTCCTCTCCGGCAGTTTGCCAGGAAGTTTATTTAGCAGGACAATTAAGAGAGTACCAACAACCGAGAGGCATGGAGACCACTTAGCTGGAACTCAAAGAAACACGCCACCAATTAACTCGTTACTCTAGAAAAATGGGTAATAAAGGTACAATAATTCTCCCTCTCATGGAAAGGTTTTCTACAAAATAAGGTAAAAGATGTCCGACGCTAGAAAATACAAAATAAGATGAGACTCGAACGTCCTAGGATTTACATACAACCAATAAGAGAATTTCCTATATACAATCAATCAAAATTCAGCAGGCTTTCTAACTCCCAACGGATGCTCAGAACGCTCAGAATGCTCAGACTGCATAGAAGTCCATCATCCATGACAAGCAAAACAAGAATTATGACACATTGACTACCCATAGCTGAAGGTATGATACGAATCAGATGCTGCAAAATTTTGAGACAGCTAAAACCACCTCGGAGCATGAAGAGATCATGCTGTGCTCTTGACAACGTGCAAAAGGCAAGCCCGCCACAAAGACCATATAAGTTTTGGCAATCCACATATTATCTACTTGGCCGCATACCAATTTTGTGCACACTTGGCATCAACAGACAGATCCACCTTAAGAATATTCTTTCCGTTGAACGGTCTTGACATGCAGTCGACCACTATGGCCTTGGCTATCTCAGCTGACTCTGTTGGCCCTTCCAGGATAACTTCATCGTGAACCTGTTCACATACAAATCCTTTAGTAGGCAAAGATTAGAATATCAATTCAGATTTATGAGTCAGACAATTCAACCTATTCTGAACTAAAAGCTCTGCAGCAGAACAGATATTCCATCTAGCCAAATCAGATACATATCACAAAGCAACATGAATGACCATAGATAGGAGAGCTGATATTCAAAAATGTCAACGTGGCAAAGCATGCGCCAATTCATTGTTGAGTAACCATCAGTTCCAATATGCAAAAAACCTTAAAAGAAAAGACAGATGCAGGTGTCAAGAAGGAGGAGTTCAGGGTAGGTAATGTGCTAAGAGAATAATCTAACCTGCAAAAGCAACTTCCACCCAAGCTTTTTCAGGCGTGCATTCTTTGAAATTTCTAACATGGCACACATAGCAACATCTGCTGCACTTCCCTGTTGCAATTTTGCATGCAAAGGAAAAAATAATCACAATTTCAGGTTGATAACATCATGTCACCAGAAATTGAAACGTAATATTATTTGCAACATAACAGAATACTTCTATGTATCAGATGCAGTTTTGGAACTTCAAAAAATCTGGTTGAAATCTTTGAAATGGAATAAAATAAAAGAAGCGGGAGACATGATTTAACAGTTTCTACCAATCTTGAATATACCTACAATTATATCTGAGAAAGTTATCTTTGAACATTTTAAATAAAAGGGTAAAAAATAAAAAAGCCCCCTGTGGTAAATCTAATATACAGAAAAGCCTCCATGGTTTCAAATTATATAACACGACCACTCATGCTTTGAACTAAATTGTAAAGATGACGGAATTCGTTAAACTTAACGAAAATGAACAAAATGACCAAAATGCCCTGATATAATTAAGCAAAAAGCAGCTCAAAAAAATCATTTGTTTTATTCTCTAAATAGAGAGAATTGAGGGTTAAGGGGTAGAATAGGTATATTTGATAAAAATTAGGTATAAAATTTTTTTTTAGGTTCCAATAAGTCATTTGCGTTAAGTTTAACGGATTTCGTCACCTTTACAATATAGTTCAAAGTATGAGGTGTCGTATTGTATATTTTGAAACCATAGGGGGCTTTTCTGTGTATTAGGGCTTTTTTGTTTTTGACCCTAAATAAAATCAGAGACCTGAACAGGCGTGTTGATGGCAGCTCTTTCAATGTGACCTTTTTGCGCTGAAGTAGCACTTTTTTGTGAAGGGAAACGGCGTGCTCTTCCTAGCAATGTGTGGACACATCTGCTCTGACGAGCTTCAGCTTTGCGATCTTGTTGCCAGTTCAGAACTTCTTTCCTGTCGCTGTACCAGAGATCAACTGTACTCTTTGCTTCCTCCACAGAAACCTTCATAATGCAGATGCTGATTAACAACAAGAGGATGCAGGATGTTGAATTGAAATAAAAAGAATTTAGCAATTATATCTAACATACCTTCCAATCACGGGAAAGCCCCACCGCAGTTTTTCCATATGCAATGGAAAAGTTGAGCATCTTAGCTTTCCTTCTTTCAGAAGTAAAAGCATCCTGAAAAGAGAGCTTGGAATGTCACATTTTTAGCATCCACAAGAGACCAATAGAGAGCAGTTGACAGGGGGGCACACCAGCACTTGTGGTGTACCTTAATGCATTGCAACTACAATGACACACCTCATGGCTTAGGTGAATTGATCAGCCAAAGTGGAAACTCGATACAACTTAACAGTATAAGAAACTAACTTGAAAGTGAATCTAAATTAAATACATATTTAAACAGTATCTTCCATTAGAAACTTTATCACTATCTGTTTTGATCCTGCAACCAATTAGATTGTCCTTAACATCACCAAGAATTAATCTGTCTCCGGAAGCTATAGAACCTTGAGAGGCAATAATTAGCAAAGCTTAGCAGCCATTGCCGTCTTAGCAGACATTGCAGGCTGCCTAAAGTGTAAGAGAAGTGAAGTTTGATCAGATAAAAGATACCATTAACCAAGTTTTAAGTATTGACAGGCTTCGAAACCATGTCTTAACACCTTAACATCAAATACCATTCCTAAGGAAAATAGGCTATAAAAGAATGATTATATAGTCTCATATAGGTATACAATATATACCCTATTTTGAAGTCGGGGTGCATTTTTAAATCTTATTTACGCCATGACTTGCTACTGAACCTCACAAAAGAAAAGTGGGGCAGGAATGCAGAGAGTTGCACAACTTGATGTCGTCTTTCTGGAAACTTGCTTGTAAGAATACATACTAAATCCCCATTGAGTCGCTTATCTTGACTTGGCAAAGCTTGTGCTACGGTTCATAGAATTCATGTCATCAAAGATATTGTTCTTCAACTGAATCCTAAGTTTATTTATATGCCACAGTGTTACTATTCCTATGAACCAAAAACAAGAAATAAGAAATGCTAAATTGATCTGATCTGCTGATACCACAGGCATTTCAGAATACACTTGACCTTTAGTAAAGGAACTGGAGGCTTCTCTTCACCAGGTTGTGTGGTGCCATTCAAGAAGAACAAGTTTTTGTTCAATGGCTTCTCGAATATGTGGATACATGTTCATTGCTGTCCTTGAATGGAAGTCTCCACCAGCTTTGAAAGCATCCAACATGCTCTTACAGTTAGCAAGATGTGCAAGAATCCTAAGCTCCAGCTGATTATGATGGTATGAGCAATTAAGCCGCAAAGTATTAAATTGAACAACTTCTATCACTATTGTTAGGAAGCCAAATCTATTTACCTGCCCATAATCAGCAACAATCAGAGAGTTCCCTGGTGCAGCAATAAATGCCTGACGAATCTTATAGCGGTCCTTCTCTAAGGCAGGCTGGTTCTGTTCGACATAACATTGGAATTATAGAATGTAATAAAGCTTTCATTTGCAGGATAGAAGTGGGAGGTTCACTTAAGATATTTATTTGAGAAGGTATTCCGATTCAAAGAACACAATCAATGCAAAATAATATCAAATGGGTGAAGGAATCTGGGTACTGCATGGCCCATGAGGATCCATAATATAGGATCTACAAATATCAATGGTGAATACAAAAGAACAGTAAAAAACAATGCATCCAAGCAAGAAAATTGAGAAAGGGTAACCCCACCATAGCAATTATCAAATGTACAGCATGTCTCAAGAACATCTTTTTCAAAACAAAACCACAATGCAAAAAATGCCATGCAGGATTCACAGTTTCTATTGTCAATACCATGCAGTATGCAATGCACAAGAAGCAGTCAAGATCCATATAGCCCCACTATAGTTTGACATGCTTGCTTGAGGTGATCAGAGATATATATATACAACACACCTGCAAATTTGGCCTTCTTGCTGAAAGCCGCCCGGTTTCTGTGTTAATATTAAGTGAACAATGAATACGCCCATTCTTGCCTGATATGTGACTTCCCTGTGAGAAAGGAAACCAATGCCATCATTATTTTTTACATTCTTGAATACATAGAGAAAAGCAAAAGAAATGTTTGTTATGGAACACTAAAAAGATTGGCACACACTTAATATTACTTTTTTTTTACCTGATTTCCAAAACATCTTTTTTTAATTTGCATCATGCACGGTTTTGAAGAAGACCCAAAACAAGACACATGACTAACAACCAAAAAGTCCAGCCTTTTCCAATTCTATTTGGGTATGAAGCCCAAGAGCCAGGGGTTTATGCCTTTGGCTGCTTTTATCAGGATTTTATATGTAAAAAGGCAAGTTTCACAGAAACTAACCTGCAAGGGTAGAATAAAGTTGGATATAAGAGGTCTATCGAACAAACTTCACATAGAGCAGAAATGGCACTGGAAGCCTCACTTCCTTGATCACCTCCAAGTGAAGAACAAGCTGATTTATCAGCGAGATCACTTTCATCCATTTCATCGGCCACCCCGAAGCTATCATCAGACTGCAACTGAGCAGCTTCATATATGAGATCGAATTCATCAGAAATACTCCCAGCAAGTGCCTTCAGAGCATCTCCACTAACAGAGGGCCATCCGCTTGCCGTGTACATGTCACTCTTCAAATGGTCATCAAAAAGCCTATGCAGAGTAATAGTGCGGAATTTTGTTGGAGACTTCTTTCCTTCTTCAATGACCTTATCAACATTGGGGACTTTGAATCCCCTCTTTATTGGAAGAGTCTCATCCCGATTTTTTCTGTGAAAAAAAATGCACAGATGAATACATAGAAAGCTTGACCAACTTAATTACATAAATTTTGTTAACCCTTTTCCAGAAAGTAGAAAAATAATTCACATAAGAAGGTAGAATGCCAGTGAGCTAATTAGGCATGTCACATAGGAATCCCAGATTCTAAGTGAAACATGAAAATCATAAGCCATTTGACAAACAATTCTGTCGACTTCAAGTTTTTTTGCTATGTATACATGTTGAGACACTCATTTGAGAGCCATACCTGTTCTGTATGCCACCAAAAAAAGTTGGCGCAACTGCGCATCACTTCCGACATTCATATATTTTGCATGTGGACAGTACTTTGATGCCCAGTTGCGAAATCTGTCAGCAGCAACTTCTTGTTCTGCTTTAGCCACTTTCTCAATCTCAGCGAGGTATGCACGATCAACTAGCATCCCTCAGTTTCCATTTCCACTAGAAGCTCACCAAATGGACGCCAAATTGTTTTATAAAAATCAAACATTGATCCTCTTCTAGCTCCATCCAATTTCCATTCCATCCTAGATAATTTAGTTTTCAGACTCTCATAAAGCCTAAGAGTGCTTATCGAGTCCAAAGCAGAATAGCAAATCCATAACTCGCGCTCTTCAGTTTGCAGCTCTTCAACAGAAGGAATAGTGACAACTTTACCCTCAGAACCATCTTTTTTTATTTTTTTCTTCCCAAAGATGGTTTTCATTGACACCTTACCAATCAACTCTTCACCAAGGCATAACCTAGCATCAGACATGACAGAAGAATCACCGGTAAGGGCTTCCAGAGAATACCCACCTTCTAATCTTCTTGATGAATTCCACAATCGGCGCATGTGCATTGTATCAGCATGGAAACCAGCAAGTTTAAGTCCATAATTCTCTATAACATGGTTATCAAAGCTATAGTTGTGCCACACCTACAGAAAAACAAGCCAGCGTAGTTCCCCACATGGCATATAATCATTTGAAGAACTGATGAGCAACAAAGAGCTCCACACAGAATTACATATAAAAAATCTTTACCTTTTTAATTGACGGGTCTTCAAAAAAAGGAGCAAATTCAGCCAAAATATTCCTCCCGTCCTCATCAAGAAGATCTACCCAGATACAAGACTTTCCATTTCCAAAATTCGCTTCCGGTCCACAATAAATACTGCAGCATACAATTTCTCCATGATCAACTGGTGTTTCCTGCTTAACATCAATCTTTGATACCTACACATTAGCAGAAACCAGTAAAATGAGCTCCCAAAAAAAAATGAATGCTACTGGAGAGAACATGAATATTAAGCGAATAAGTTAATTAAAGTACAGAATTCAACTGGTTGTATCCAAATGTAAGATAGTCTAAAAGCAAGTCAAATGAAAAACATACTTCCGTATCACATGCATGGACCATATGCCTGTATTGATTTGTGAGCAAACCAACTACTTCCTTTGCAGCAGAGACAGTATCAACCACAAGAACCTTGTCATAAATGCAACTAAGCCTCTCACGAAGATTTGACCGGATAATAGCTTCTGGTTCCACAGATCCTTTTCCTGTGGGGGTTCCATTTATTTTTTCAACACCAACAGACTTTGCAGCAGCAGCCTCCCTTTTTGTTACATTATGAGCACTGCCTTCATCAATTGAGGGATACTTTTCTTTCTGTTCTTCGAATAATTTTGGCAGGGAAATATTAGGTTGGAAGACTTTGAAGGTAACTGCATTGTCCTCGGAGAGATTTTCCAGTGTATGTCTGCTTGTTGGCTATTTGATGTATAAGGCTGTCTGCTACTTGAAAAGTTGTCCTTCATCTCACGATCTGGTGCAATTGTATTCACACTTACGATATTCGGTAGGCTAAGGTTTCCTGAAGAACAAGCTGAATCATGAACATTTCTGAACGAGAGAGGTGAATTACTAGTAGATGGACAAGATAAGTCATTATCAGTGCTTTGCTGTCTAAATTTGTGATCACTTCCATCTGTCAAACTAGGCAAACTAGAAGTCCGTTCAGCACGATAAGCTTCCTTTCTTCTCTATAGTATTGAGTCACGTCACCCCAGGATTTGTAAGTAGGCCTCTGATAGTCATGCACAAACACATGATCCTACTTGATATCTTCACAACGGAATGATCAGAAGCAGGGCTGTTTGAGACATTTGAGAAGGATATGTAGCCAGAATGGGTTTTGCAATATTCTGGCCTGAGAGTCACAGTGTCATGAAAGCCCAAAGCCAACAAAATAGTCAAATAGAATAAATGAAAATACATTATTTGTCACACAAATTGAACTCATGACAAGTACAAACATTTGCATTATCAACTATTTATCCTATGTTTAATGAATTCGTACAAATCTCAATAGCATTACAGATCTCTCTGACATATGGTGCTATGGAACAGATATCCTTACAGCAGAACAGAAAAGCAGTTTTTCTCATATTTTGACAAAGACGACACTTTCAGTTATGAAACTGAATCTATCGCTGCTTAGTTTTTTGCCTAAACTTATTTCTGTTAATTAAGCCACAACTGGTTGCTAACAGTCTCATCCCATTTGAATTATCACAGTAAACGAGGCATCTAATCATGGTAATGCAGCCAAGAATATTGACATACAACATGGAAAGATATCACACTCTGCCTACTGACCTTGCCCAAATAACTCAAAGCATAGCAGAATACACATTATATGACTAACAATTATAGCAAGATAAGCAATACAAACATCTCAGCCACTTAGAGTAACAGCATTGCTGATTAGATGATATAAAGCTCAACCATGTAGAGAGCCTAATTCACCAAAAAATCATTCATTCTTTCTTTTCGACGGAGGGGAAACTATTTTAGGCTAAAAAACCAACAGCCTACCAGCCCCCTCCCAACCTCCTCCTCTCCCCCCCCCGGGGGCCCAGCAGACCCCTTCAATGGCAACCTACTGAAAACCCAGAAATTACTAGGTGAAAAATAAAAAAACCCACATAAGGAAAATGCACGATAAACGTAAAAAGATAAGCTTTTTGAGCAAGAGTAAGGAAGCAAACCTGCAAAGGGCTTTACTAGAAAGAGCCCAGAAGGAGCGAGAAGTAGAAAAAGTGTGAGGGCATGATGAATGACAGAGCCACAAGTAAGGGGACTTTTTGAAAGGGGTGAACTGAGTACAGAAACCCCCCATTGCAGCAGCCATGGCCTTCGCAATTCTTCTGCCAACTAGTTTATGGCTAGCGCCACAGATTTTACTGTAAGCAGCTGCCGTCTTGATAATCTTTTTTTTTCCGTTTATAATAAACAGTTAAAAAGATTTGCTTTGTTAATATTTCCCCCTTTTCTGCAGGTGACAGTGGGGCTGTAAATAAGAGGTTTTAGAGAGGGTTTATGAGGACTCTTTGTCTGGGAATGGGGATGACTGACTCATGGCTGAAAAGGAGAGCAGAGCAGAAACCAACCCATACCAGAACAGAACAGAGCAGAGTAGAGAGGGAAAAAAGAGGAAAAAACGGAGAGAAGAGGGAAGATTTTGGTGAACAAAGCTTTATTTAAAAAGGGTTTAACCCTTCGCTTGAGGCTAAACCCTGAACTAGAGGTTAACGGGACACTGGGCGGAGGACCATCGGACATTGTCGGGGTTGCAAATTTCTGTCGCTTTGACCTTTCCAGCAATAGGCATTAAACTTTTTTTAATAGTCAAAATTTGATAACTCAATTATTAATAATATATTTTTATTCATTGAATCACCAAAAGTGTAATTTTGTAGACTATTTTGTCTAATTTTATTGTTAACTCAACCAAATTTAAATTTAATGAATAAAAATGTATTATTAATAGTTGTCTGATCAAAACTCAATTATTCAAAAATTTAATAGTTTAATGGCTAATATTCATCCCAAAAAACTCGATTATTAATAGTTTAATGGCTGCTTGAGTAATTTGCTTGGAAAAAATTGTTGTATTTTTTGGGGTCCTCTGTTGGGTTTTTTTTTTTTTTTTATTGAATTGTTATTCCAATTATTGAATAAGCCCATTAAAGAACATAATTACCTTGGAGGATATTATTTGCAGTTGAGGGGCCTCTACTTTCTGCAGGTTGTAATTGTGGGTTTGTTTGGATTGAAATGATTTTAGATAAAAAAAAATTTACTCATAAATATCAATCACCTTTTTATCTTTCCAATCATTTTTTATCTTACATACATCACATCACAAAAAATATTACAGTAATTATCTCAAATAAATCATCCAAATAAACTCCTATATCCAAACAAACCCACAGTACTCCCGATGTGCATCCCAGTCAGCTAATGTACATATCGAACCACCAAATGTAAACTCTCATACATTACATTGCTGTACAACAGCAGCAGCCAGCGTCCATACACTTTGGTTGGCAGTGCTTGTGTGAGTACGAAGTGACTTTTAATGCACCAAGCTGCTGCCAGTAGCCTACAAGAGGTCATTTTCAAAGACTCTATTTACTTGTGTATCCTTAATCCCTCTCTAATTGGGTGATAGTGTCTTGAAAAGAATTATAGCTAGATTCAGAGGAGGGTTTCTCTTTACCTGTTGATGATTACCAATTTAAGGTCCAGAAAAAAAGAAGTGTATTGTAACTTTTTGTCAACCCTTGACGTAAAGAAATTACTTTTGTCTTTGTGATTTGAAGGAGGAAAAAGGTATGATTTTTTTTTTTTTTAGCTTCTTTATTTAGAGATCCCCTATCAAGATAACAAGTGTTAACAAGAAATAGCGTAGAAATCCATCCTTAATCTTAGTTATATTAGTTGACATTAAAGTGATTAAGTTGGCATGCAACAACTAAAGATGGCCTATAGGTTCCTGTGTTTCAACCATTTGGTTTTTCAAGCAAGAACTCATCCCCATGCTTACCTACAAGAATTCAACCATTGAACTCTGTGCAAGTGAATAGACGAACCCATGAGGAAGTATTTTTCTAAAGTAACTCTTCAAAAAAAATTTTTTTCTTTCAGACCCTTAGTAAATCCCTTGTACATCCATGCGGATGAAGAACAACTATCCATAACGACTTAGGAATCCAAGGTAAACGCGAAAGAATTGAGTGGGGAATATCAATTGAAGCCATGGTTTGAGCATGCTATGGCATTTTACATTAGAAGACTGGAATCATATGGTTTCCCCTTGCTGCGTCTTTGATGGACTGTGCTGAAGGTTCTGTACATCATTTGCCCCTTCATTGGTGGATTTTTTGGTGTCTTCTGCATTACCCTCGGCATCTTCATCGCCTGTAGATAGGTATGCCAAAGCAGTCACTACATCACTAATCAAAGGTCGAGTTGTAGCTTCTTCCTGGAGGCACATTGCTGCAACTGCAAGAGCTTGGTATAGTGCCTTAACAGGGTAGTTTCCTTCAAGCAAAGGATCTGCCATTAAATGAAACTTCTTCTTGTCTTTGAACAACGGTTGAGCCTGTAATCATTCAGTTGCAGAAGCACATCAGCCACAAGGATCTAGATACTATCTTTAATATACTACCAGTGTTTCTTCTAACATACCAGATGGAAGCTTTCAATTAATCCTACTAACATTGAAAATCGAAAGAGAGAAACTTCAAAATCTGTTGTAACCTTGGTTGTTAAACTTACCCACTGAATCAGGTTCTGTTCTTCACTTGGTCTTGAATTGTCAATGACTCTCCTTCCTGTGATCATCTCCAAGAACACTACGCCAAAGCTGTATACATCAGACTTAGTTGTCAATTGGCCTGTTAAAGCATACTCAGGCGCGCAGTAGCCATATGTTCCCATTACTCTGGTAGATACATGGGTCTTATCACCTGTTGGACCTAACTTGGCAAGTCCGAAGTCAGAAAGCTTCGGATTGAAGTCTTCGTCTAAAAGTATGTTAGATGCTTTAAAATCACGGTAAATCACTGGAGGGTTTGCCGTTTCATGCAAGTATTCTAGCCCTCTTGCTGCGCCTTCAGCTATTTTCATCCTAGTGTTCCAATCAAGAGGCTTTCTTTCTGGACCTATGTCTGGAAAGAAGATGGTCTGATCAGCAATACCCGTACAGAACCTTGTTCAGCAGTTGTATTAGCAGAAAGTCTTCCAATGCAATAACATTATCTTCAATATCAATAGCTTTACTTGTAATTTATTATCCACCATTGAATTTGGACTCTCAAGTAAGTTATAAATTTTGAAACTATCAGTTTACAGAGCCGAATACTATGTGCATCAATTAGTGGACTGGCAGATACATAGCTGTGCATATAGTATTGAAGTTTCGTATGACAGTATTATCCTGCACTGCAAGAACAACTAATTCATAGTAATACTTCACAATGAATTGTCAATGAACCTTGAAGCATGATTCTATTTGAAGTGTTTGCCTGAGATATACTTTCTCAGACAGTCCTTGAGGTACTTAGGCAGGTTAGATCTACCAGAATCGGAGTGTGTCATATTCATTGACAATGACAAAGTAAACAAGATTGTATTTGTCATACCGAGAAGGTGATCTTCAAGTGAGCCATTGGCCATGTATTCGTAAACTAACACCCTCTGATCACCATCACAACAGTATCCTACCAAATTGACAAGGTTAGGATGATGAAGAAGACTCAAAATCAGGACCTCCACAAGAAATTCCCTGTTTCCTTGGAATCCATTCCTGTCTAATTGCTTGACAGCAACCTCCTTAGTAACCTGGATGAGGGGAAGAAAAGGGAAAAATGAGAGAGTCAGCGCATCCAAAAAGCTTCTGGAGAACGTGGCAAACTCTGGGAAGGACAAAAGAAAGAGAGAGATGAAAAGATTGTGAGAGTACTGTATCTTTGCCTTGAATTTGCCCTTTGTACACTCTACCGAAACCTCCTTCACCAATCAAACGTTCAGCATTGAAGTTATCAGTAGCAAGGGATAATTCTCGGAATGTGAAAATCTGAGCTGAAATATTCTGTTTTCCGATTTTTTCAATTTCTTCACATATATACCTCCTTTTGC